GAGCTGTCGGACAATTCTTTTTAATTTTGAAATTTCTTCTGTTAATTCTTCTTTGTCTTGTTTAGAAAGTTCGATAGTGTTATTTAACTCTTCTTCAAGAAATCGAATTCTTTCTTCCCGTATACCAATAACTCTTTCTAAGGTATATAATCGTTGTTTGAAATTCCTATTTGATTCTGCTAATTAGGATACTACCTCATGGAGTTCTTGATTACTTTGTTGTAATTCCTCTATATTTTTTATTTACTATAATTTATATGATCCAGAAATCGCTAAATATATAAAAGAGAATCGAAATAGAGGAACTGGTTATTTATATCGATCCCCGGAGAGCACGTGATCTTGATCGAGATCTTACTTTGCAGAAGCTCTATTACCGACCTGAAGACTATTATCAAACTGTTGAAAAAATGCAGAATGCTTGTAAGAAAGCCGAATATGAGTTTACTTCAGTTGAAATAAAAAAATGGTTAGACTGACAAGCTTTATATCAAATTCATAAACCCCATCCTAAATTTATTCAGTATACTTCTTTTAATAATATTCAGTTTTTAAATGAAGTGCACCAATCTGATACTACGCCTATGCCTCATGATAAAGTTGGTAATCAGATTTACAAGTATAGAGGTGTTATCAAAGATGTTGCAACTAGATTTTGTTATAGTTTTGCTTTAACTAATAAGACATCAGCACAAATGGCTAAAGTGATTCAAAAAATTTATAATAATCCTAATATCCCTCTTAATTACCCAAAAACTTTTATTGTAGATAGAGGCACTGAATATATGGCTGAATGTAAAGATTTATTGCTTAGCTACGGTGTAAGAATTCAGTATGCTAACTCTAAATGTGGTGTAGCTATTGCTGAATATGACCATCAAGAATTTGAGAAGCATGCTTATTTTCAGCAAGATGCTGTAGATTTTCATTTACCTTTAACTGATAGATCCAGAGCGTGGGTTAAGAAACTTCGTATAAATGATGATATTTACAATAATACTCCTATTCAATTAATAGGTATGTCTCCTAATGAGGCTGTGAAAAGAGCATTAAAAGGCAAAAAAATAATAGCTAGACCTTCTGTCAAACATAGGAGACCAATTGGTTATAATGAACTACTTTTATCTAGCTATACAGAAGTTCGGCATCTATTAGAACCTGGTAAATTAGAAGGTGGTAGAAGAAGGGCAACCGATTGCAATTGGTCTTCCGAAGTCTTTACAATTGATTCTTATTTGTTAAAAGAAAATTAATCTATTCTTTACAAGCTTTACAAGGGTTCTAGACGCTCATTTGTAAGAGAAAAATTACAAATCGTCTCGCCAGACACAGTATTACCACCCAAATATATTCTCAAGAATTAGTCTTACCTCCTCTCTCCTCCACTTGGTATAGAATTTGTTCAAAAGCATTGCTTAAGTAATTATCTATTTCATCTCTATTATAAACTATAATTTGCTTATTTCTAAGCCAGTTAATTCGTGAATTCTTTTTTTCCTGTTTTTCATTTTCAGGTTTATTATCTATAAGAAATTTAGTAAGAGAACATAGAGTGAATTTAAGTTGTCCACGCTTATCAAATTCCTTTTCAAGTATTTCTCTAAACTGCTTCCTTCTACTCTCTAACATTTTTTGTATATTACTACTATTATCTGAATAGGATTTAGGAACTTTTGCACGATGTACGGCTATAGCTCTTCTTTTAAGTGCCATGCCTAATTCTTCTTGCTTCCTAAATTCTAGATTTCTTTTTTGTTTTTCTTCAGTAATTTTTCTCAAATGCCTAAATTCTTCATTATTTGCTTTTTCTCTATTAGCTTGGCTTGCTAAACCAGGACCGGCTTCAGAATCAATTTGAACCTTTTCAAAAGCCTCATTATTAGCCTGTAATAGATCATGATATAGAAGCTGACAATCTTTTAATGTTGTTGGCAAAATACGTTCTTCACCAGTTACTTCATTCTATCTTTGGCGTAATCTTGCACCCCAGGTTCTCAAATGTTTTCTAGACTTTCTTGTATGCCTATCAATATACCCATTCCTTACTCCGTTATAATCTCTATCATGTGTAGTTGGGGCTTCCCTTTGCAGTTCTGGCTTATATACTGGTATTTGGTTAACCGCTTGTAACTTTTCTCTTTGACGATCTCTTTTTTGGGCATGAACTACGGGAGTTTGAACTTGCACTTTTTCTTGATTATTATCTTGGTTAATCTCTTGAATAGACACTTAAATAGAAGCTATATCCTTTTTATCTTGTAATAGTTTACATGGATTTTTTCGCTTAAGATGCTCACAAAGTTTTTGGGGTATTGAACATTTATAACCACAACGTTTACAGATTGTATCTTTTTTATCACTTCTTGTTTTTCTAACCATGGTGTTATCTCTAACTGTCACACTATTACTTATTTAAAAATTTTTTCTTTAATTAATTATTTTATATGCACTTATCAATTTTCAATCATATAAACCTTAGTAAAAACTGATGATAAGTATTTACAAGCTTTCTAAAGTGATTCTAGCTATTGCAAAACTGAAGCATTAACTAATTATTAATTTATCTTTTCGAATCTAGTAATAAAAAGTAGAATGATTAGTGAATATTCTTGTCCATTTCTCTGCAATACCGGAAAGGCTTGTAGGAATGCTAGTACTAGGCCTGAAGGATGTCGGTTTCATTGGAAAGCTAAAAAACAAGTACCATGTTCTGATTGTAGAAAGCCTACAGCCTCTGCTTGTGGATGATGCCTAGTACATATCAGAGGGTACTATGTTACCCAGTACCATGATAGATTGTGGGCTAAAGCTTTAATTCTAGAATATACCAAGGATATAGCAGATGATGTAACGTGTATATTGCTTATATTTTTTTACTAGATTTATTAGATTATTTTTATAAGCTAGAGATTGCCAGAATTGTTTTTGTGATATATAATTTTTTCGTTAAACTTTTATATGCTATTTACTAAGCTAGCCCATGTAGAGCCTGTTCTTGACTAAGGATCTTTTATAGGGAATATTGTTATTTTCATTAGACTTATATATTATTTTATGAGTTATCTGGTGCAGAAGCACTTTCTAATATACTGCTTTTTTTTGTTAGATATATAAAATTCCTGGCAAGGCAGAATCATTAGATTTATTTAAAATATGTTAAATAATAAGCTAACCTTCTATAGAAATGATTCCTGATATACAATTTTCATTAGACATAAAATTTCTGGCAGGGTGGAATTGTTAGACTTATTTTTCTGGCAGGGTGGAAGGAAAAGTTGGGACAAAATTCTCATTAGACTTTTCTTATAATTATACTATTTAATAAGCTAAAGCTTGTAGAAACTATTCTTGTCTATAAGTAATTTCATTAGATTAAACAAGTCACGTGATACTTGATATGCTAATTAATGTTTAAATCTCTCTAGAAGTAATTCTTGAATAGTTAGAAATATTCATAAATAAATCTAACGAATCTAAAATCGGTAATAAATATAACTAAAAAATAAATATAATTTTAAGGCTTTTGAGCCCCCAGAATGTATTCCTGATATATTTATAAATTGTTAGATTTATTTAAAGACAGTTAGACTTAAATAAAGCTAACCAAAAATCAATATAGTTTCTAGCTTTCTGGAGCCCCTAAAATATATTCCTAATATTTTAATAAATCCAACCAAAAATTGATATAATTATTAGCCTTTTGAAGCTCTCAGAATATATTCCTGATATATTTATAAATTGTTGGACTTAATAAATCTAACCAAAAATCAATATAGTTCCTAGCCTTTAGAAGACACCAGAATGCATTCCTAATATATTTTAAATCTAACTAAAACTCGATATAGTTCCTGGTATTTAGAAATCTTCAAAATACGTTTCTGATATATACTAAGTCTAATTGTCCCAAACCCCTAGAATGATATTGTGTTATTCACACAGGCATTCGAATGGATTTGCTCAAAGAAGTCTTCCAATAATTGGTTATAGGTTAGTGCTATAATGAAATGGAGTTGAATAGTACCAATAGAGAAAGATATCCAAGCTGCAAAATGACGAAAACACTGATAACTGACTTGGAACCCAGAAAATACTAGAAAGCCTTACCTTATATACTTGTTACTTCTAGAAAAACCAGAGAATGTCACAAATAATAATGATGATAATAAAGAATAATATAGACAATTAGTAAGATAGGATCACATAATGCAAAAAGAAAAAAGAAAAAAATTAGATACTCATCTTAATTATTGAGTCCCAAGGTAGAATTGTAAAACCTCACTACTAGTTTTTTTTTACCACTTCGATTCACGTTCAATTCATCCCAGTTTTAAAAATTAACTAAAAATATAATTTAATACTTAGATCTTAACCCATATAATATTAAAACTTCATAGTAAAAACAAAATAAATTTACTTAAAAATAATTTAAATTAAATATGCATATGAAGATTCTTTAGTTAGTATAAGTGTTTATTAAGAGGTCGTCGTTCAAAATTGATATTAATTATTATTTGTATAACATGATCTGATTGGTAAATTATGAGCTGTAGCTGTGGCTACGCCACCGATCTGCATTTTGGAGGGCTGCTCTGGTTGATTCTTGCCGAGTAACAATATTTTCCAAAATAGAAAAAAGTTACTTGTTTGTTTACTGTTAATATTTCATAATATAGAACGTGTTTGTTTTATTTGTTTGTTTGTTATGGTGATCTCCTGTCATGCGTTTATATTGTTAATTTTACAAGATCTAGAATGAAAATCTAAAAGCCCTGAATTTTTATAAAAATTTTCCAAAAAGTAATATGTTTCTTTGGGTTTAATTCTCTTTGAGTTCTTGTATTAAGAGACTTTAGGTATTTTTCTGTGCTGAATTTTTTTTCTTAATATCGAAAGGACTATTTTCTATATTGTTTGTTGAGATATCTTTTGTTTTTGCTTTATCGATTTTTTTGGATTGATGATTAGCGGAAAGAGTTTTTTTTTGAATATATACCTGCCCCATGTCAGATTTATTAGCCAATCAAAATTAATATAATATATATATATTATATATTACATCAGATCTTTCTGACCTTCTCTTTCCCTATTGATATTACATATCTGCTACTCTTCTAACTGATTGCTAAAATTAAATAACCTAATTTGATCTTTGCTAGTGCTCTATAGTTGCTACCAGTAATAATATCTATATCTTAAATTTCTGTATTATATAGTTTACTTGTAAAATCTTTTGTAATCCAAATCTGATTAATTCTAAAGCTTAGTTTTCTATTTGTCTAAAAGAAATCTTTGCTTTTTAGATTGACTAATCTGAAAAAATCTTTAAATTCTTGTTTCTGCAGCTATCTAAAAAAGAGATCTAATTTAAATAGTTTATTTTTTATATAATATAACTTATCCTGAAAAGAATCTAAGATACAATTAAGATCATTTATGATTATTAATTATATCTTCTTGAACTAATTAATATATCTTTTTAGAATCTTTTTTTGTATCTTCTTATTTTTATTTTATTTTTTTTTTGAACATATTGGCAGCCTCACTGGTATCTTTATTAGATCAAAGCATATGCACAAAGTATAATTAAACTATCTAAGTTACAGATCTGATATCACTCGGCTGTTTATAGAGGTGCCTAAGTATGATCTGCCTCACCGGTTAAGGCTATTGCTCATACCAGAGGGCTATACCAAGCTAGTCTAAGAAACTATCACAAGATAGTTTCGAAATGAACAAATTTTTCACTATATTAAATTAGCAATTTCTCTTTTTTAAACTATCTACCTTTTCTAAACAAAGTCCTAAATCTAATTTTCTAAGAATAAACCAAATGCTTTCCTTTTTCAACACAGGGTTATTGCTAAGATTCTTTTGTTCGTATTTATATTTCTTTTTCCTTTTCCTTTTCTTCCAGTTCAATTTATCTTTTTCAATTTGAGACCTGAGTCTTGGAAGTCTTCTCTTATTCTTTTCTATAATTTTCTCTTCCTGGTTTATAGCTTCATACCTTCTTTTTTTTTCTTCTTGTGGGTTTGTTCTAGTGGTTTCTACCAGGAATATTCTTCTATATGTTCTCTTCTTCTTCAGGTATCTTAAGTCTTCTTTTAGTTTCTTTGTTTCGAGGTCTTGGTCAATTTGCTCAAGTTTTCTTCTTCCATATTCTGGGTATAAGAGTCTTCCTTTCTTCTTTTCTTGGTCTTTTTACTTTTTTTTTCTATTCTGAAACTTGGTTTTCTTTCCAAGAATCTTTCTTGTATTTCGTTAAAGATCTTCTGATTTTTGAGATATTCTACAAAAATCTTTTCCAATATTCCTAATAATGTATTTTTCTTTTTTTTTTTCTAATTTTTTATATCTCTCGGCCTAGATGTTACTGTGCTTTGTATCAGATTTATATTCAAGTTCTATTGGAACTTCTGTTTATATATCTATTTTGCCAGAAGATCTTTTTTTATTTTTTTTTACATTTCTTTATTATACTGTGAATCATCTTTAATACTAATTTGATATATTACTTCTGTCAACCATTCTTTTGGAGTTGCTAATACCATATTTGGTCTTGATTCTTTTTGAATCTTATTTAATGCTTTAGCCTCTGTGAGCCTAGGAATGTCTTGATCACTGTCTTTGTTTTGCTTTTTTTTTTTAATCTTTCTTCTTTTTCTTTTCTGGCATGTTAGGACAAATTCGGCAGATACTTTAAAATATATTAATAAAGTTCTTAAGTCTGAATTATTATTCTGCTTTTGTCAGATTTTCTTTTGTTCTTGAAGTCTCTTGCTCCAACCTATATCCAACTTTGATTTTATTTTGGTAGCTTGTCTTTTCTCTTGTTAAACTTGCATCTTTTTCTTTTCTTTTATTTCTTTTCTTGTTTCTTGTATTTTGGCTTTTTTTAGAACTTGTATTCTTCTTTTTTCTTCTTTGACTCTTTGTTTTCTTTGTGTTGCTTTTCTGTGACAAATTGGACGAATTGCTTGAATTGTTATGCTAATGAGTTTAATATTGATTTGTTGTACTGTTTTTGTCAAATTCTTCTTTGCTCTTCGAGTCTCTTGCTTTAGCCAGAATTAATTTTCGACCTTATTTTAGCAGCTTGTTTATTTTCTAACTCTTTTATTTTAGCAGCCTGTTTCTTTTCAATCTCTTCTGTATCTCTTATCACATTAGCTATTTTTAAATCTATCAAGATATTCTTTATTTTTCTACGTATGATATATTTTACTAGGTCTTCTTCTTTTTGCATTGCTTCTAAAAAACCACAGCGGTCTCTTGTTTTAAGTTCAAGTCCTGTATATTGACTAATACCTTTATTGTATTGTCGTCATTCTTTGTGTAGAGCCCTTATTTGTGTTCTTGCTTCTTCCTCTGTAATAAGT